TGTGTGCAAGCTAGACAAGAAATGATTCACGTACCGAAGCAGATTCATGGGAAAAAATTCCATGGACCGTGTTGCATGGAGGGAGGAAATCATGAACGAGGTAAAAATTGAAAATAAAGAGGACAAATTGCAGACAGGTTGAGAGCTGAGCGTCTGAGAAGAAGTGCACTAAAGTCACGTGATGGCAACAATGGTCCTGAAATCCCATGCTCTAATTGTGAAAGACTTTCCTTAATGTGGGAAATTTTTTCTAGTCACACTCAAAATCTTCATGCGCTGTGATTCCCATGTCTACCGCTAGCACAATTCAACTCTTTCGTTTAGAAAGACGGAAAGATGCCAGTGACATAGCAGTTTTATAATGTAACACATTAGTCTTTTATTTTCATTTAATATCATCATCATTATCAAATGCCCTGTTGCATTAATGGAAGCCTTCTTGCATGGTGGGGAATGCCAAAGCTCTGCACCTTGCCTTTCTTTGAGGGCTGACCAGGATGACTGTGGCTGCCCTCAACAGGCCCACTGAGGGGCACTACCTGCAGACCAGATGAAAAACATCATGACACAACAACAAAAGTTGTGCAATGTCCCACAAAACTAATCTGGATGGCTAGCCTGGGAAAAAAATAACAGACGGATGTGTTAGCCGAAACTGCAAATATTGCCATCCATGCTGTAAGTGGGTACAGTGCAGTTATGTCACTTGGATCAATAAAGAAGAAAAGGCAATGTCCTGTTGACTCATCTGGGAGTTAATTCTTTGCCACATATGAGATCTCAAAAAGAATGTACCTTTTAACATATGAAAATATAGATTTAAGGTACAACATAACACGCAGAAATCGCACAGCACTGCTCCAGGCCCTGACAGCATCCTAAAAGACAACAGGCTGATGTTGGATGCTGATATGAAGAGTGTGGCAGGAGAATTCAATATTAGCATACAAAGTGGCCAGATAAAAGAGGAATGGTTCCACAGTTAATTTTTCCCACTGTCAAAACCGAACAAAGACTTCTTAAAGATCGACGGCTAAAGAATTATCTCAATGCTATAGGAGAAAATTGTCGCACAAAGTTAGACTTACTTCTTGGACTGTTAGATAAGTTCCCACCTACGCTTTGAGGGTACAGGTTAAATAAAGAGACTTTGTTCAATGCTGCAGTCTTTGCCTACGATGTATATGAAGGATTTCAAAGAGACATGCGGCAGCGGTAAACTTAGAAGATGCCTACAATAAAGTTCCATATGAATACTTAAGGCACTTACTGCTTAAACTAGAAGAAAATCCTATTCTGTTCCAATGGATTGCTATGGCCCTTTTCCAGAGAAAGGTAGTTCTCAGATTTGGTAGCTGGTCCGCAAATGATTATGTCCAGGCCTGCCGCAAAGATCACCGCTGTCACCAGTCTTGTTCAATGTGTATGCGGCGATGATCACTAAGCAGCAGTAAAAGGAAGGACTTTGTCATTTGCTGATGACATTTTGATATGTCAACAAAAGTGTGACAGAAAAGAGATCATCAGCACAATGCACAACAAACCTGATCGAATTGCCGCTTAGTGGGATGGTACTAATGCCAATGTCAATCCTTTGAAGGCATCACTGACATGGTTCTCATTAGATAATTACAATGTCAAGATGGACTGACCAGAAGTGAAAATGGGTGATAGGTGTTGATCATAACCAACGTAATGACACATCTCAGGGTGAGGTCTGATCGCAGCTTGTCATTCAAAGAACCATGTGATAATAAAAGCCTAAAAAGGTATATCTGCAACGAGGGTTATGGCTACTTCAAATATCAAGCAGAGACTACTAATACTTCTGTTCTACGGGCTGGTCCTTTCCCCCATTGAATATGCTATAGCCATCCTCACTGTCAATGCTACACAGATTGAACAAATTGAAGAAGAATTTTTTGAAGTACAAGAGACACTTCCTGTGTAGCAATGAGAAATTTACTTGAATTTCTGACCATGAACCAAAGGATCAGGATCTGGAGGGCTTGGGCATACCTTGAGATATGGGCTGAAAAGAAACACCCACTGATTCAAGCACTTTTCAGTGAAAAGTGTGACAGGCTGAAGAGGGAAAATCACGGCTAGGTCAGGCAGAAGATATTGTCAAGCAAATATGCAGCCTAACCGACATCACACCTGGTGCAGAATGGACACCCATGCCTCATGCGTTTATTTAAAAATGTTCCTGTATTGCCATACTCGACAGGCAATAAAGGGAGCAGATTCCTATTGCTGTCAATGCAGAGACCACTGCTCTCATCAGTAAAAATTTAGACGAGGTTGATGTGATCTACACTGACGGATTCATTATACGCCAACAAAGAAGCGCATGGCAATTCACAGCACGCTCAGCGGTCAGAACCGTCAAAGACGCCAATGGCACCTTCTCCATGACAACAGGCAGTATGACAATAAAGGTAATGCCAGTAAGACAAGTGTTCATGCTACTCGAAACAAAACTACACCTGCGCATGAGTACTCAGTGATTCAATGAGTATGATTTGGAGGGTTCAGGCAGGTTTGGTGTGAAGGCAATAGCTTGAGTCATTACAGAAGTCCACTGAGCGTGCAGTCACCTTTATTTTCGTGCCGGAATATGAGGGCGTCAACGGCAATGAAAGAGCTGATAGGTTTGCTGGATCTGCTATTACTTCCGAAAGTCAATCTATGGATCAAGCTGATATTATTAATGTGGAGGACTTTATGGGCAGTGAATCCACATCACTCACCAGAATGATAGACTTAGGAGTTAAGATCAGCATAGCAAAAAACGAGAAGCCCACCAGCACATCAGAGGACTTTTTAATCAACATAGAACTGGTACTATTAGCCACCAGATGCTGAGGTTCATACTGAGGAGGGGAATCAGAGCATCTATGGACATGTCAAGAGTGCAATGATGATAACTCAGCTAACTAACTCAATATCACAGTGAAATTGAATACACCTCAAAAAGCTATGGCAGAAATTGTAGGCATTGTTCTTAAGTAAGTACATATGCAAAAATTATTATTAACACACTATATGGAAGTACTTCCCACATATTTAAATGTCATGAATTAAACAGACCAACAAATAACTTACAACCAGTTTTAATCAATGGGGACCCATGCTATAACTGAGAGCTATATGTATCACGACCACTGAGTTTCACTGAATGGCTTTGTTCTCACAAAGAGTTTCACATACCTAAACCACTCTAGATATCTATGTTATCATCAAGAAAGAGCTTGGCATACCTTCTTCTCCAGCATTCCAAACCCTTCAGATTCATTGCTGCCTCCATTCATCTCGCTGGTTGGTCTTCTCTTTCCAGTTGGTGACACCAAGTGTTTGCAGGTCTGTCTGGACATTATCTCTCCATTGTCTTCTTCGTCTGCCTCATGGTCCGTGATCATTCAACTCCTGTGTGTACAGTTTTTAACCAATCTGTCATCTGACATTCTCTCAATGAGCCATTTCAATCTATTAGCCACCACGATACCAGATAATGAATTTTGTTGTTGCTTCTCACTCTCAATTCCCCACTGTTTGCATCTTTGATGAGTCAAAAATTTGTCGTCAAAACTGTTTTCAAAAATCATCTCTTTTAGTTGTGCTCCAGGTTTCAGATCCAATTGTTGTTATCAATGTTTTATATATTTTGATCTTGGTGCTATGAGATGAGACTTTGATTTTAGCAAATGTTTTAGGGCACGGTATACTTTACTTCCACTCTACAAGAGCATCATTTTGCCAGTTCTTCTTTATGGAGCGGAATGCTGAAAATGACCAAAAAGGATGCACACATGCTGTCCACCTTCCACCACACATGTCTAGGTAGAATTATCAAAATTGTCTGGCCAGATACAATCTCAAACATTAAACTACTTCAAGTCACAAACCAAGAAACTTTAGACAGTATGATAACCAAGAGAAGATGGAAATGGCTTGGCCATGGTATGAAAATGAATCCTTATATACCTGCCAAAACAGATCTCACATGGACACCAGAGGGAAAGAGAAAACAGGAGCGCCTAAAAACAACATAGAGATGAACGATGGAAAGTGACCTGAGAGCGGCATCTTTGACATGGAAAACTGCAATAAAGATTGCACAGGACAGGAAAGCATGGAAAGTCCTCTCTGAAGCCTCATGTGCCACTAGGCATAACGAGAACTGGTGATGATGATACTTTACTTCCAGACTGTCCATGTAAATCCATCCTAAATCGAGGCTTAGACATCTCTTTCAGGATGAAAAAAAGTTTTATGAAGTTGGGGGAGTCAGCCCCATGCTTCAACCCTAACCTGGAGTAACAGGGTATCTTTTTTTGTCTGTTCTGTATACTTTGACCTCTCTGACTTAGGAGGCCCTGCTGGTAGCTATACGTCTACTAGCATAGCTCCTAAGGTTATTCAAAAACACAAGCTTCCCCACCGCAGCAAGGTAGAGACACCTTCAGGGGGCAACCTTAACAAATCTTAAATTTTCACAAAATGGCAGAGTCTGTTCTTACAGAGAGCTACATATACCTAACCTGAATGGTTAAGTAGGTTATCACCATAAGTTAGCCACTTCAGCATTTTTGTGAACAGCTGGCAGGACCTATCTTTAGCAACTCTTCTGCAATGCTTACTGTATCAAAATAGACAAAAGCATCACATTCTATATCTGGATATACTGATATTAAATCAGGATAACACGTCTCTGGCATCTGCAAAATCTTGTCATTCTAAACAAGTTAATTTTGTTGCAGAGTGGTGCAAAGGAAAAAAAAGAAATGTCACATTTTATTACAAAGAATTGGCAACAACACCAAAAACATCAAGTTTTGTAGAGCCTAAAACAAAACAAAAATAGGTTACAAATTACTATCAAAGGTAGTGAACATGTTTTTATCCATACTTCTTGAGATCCATTACAAGATATAATAAAAATGTTAAGTTTATAGATTCATTACAATGTTCTGTTAATTAATGCTTTAGAATGCTCACTATAATTCATAATCTTCAATTAAAAATTCCCTATGTGATTCAGCAGCTAATCTTTGAGCTGCAGAAGTTGCCTGTTTGATAGCCACTCTATACTGTCCTTTCTTCTTTTTATTGTAACGAGTTTTAAAGTCTTCTAAGAATGGAAAAAGGTCTGAACAATGCATATGTGAAACAGTATTTGATCCAAACCATGCTACATTGGCTACCCGAGTAATTATAACGTTATTATCACGCTGCGTTACTGTAATATTGGAAACCCGTCCTGGCCACCAAGGAAAACCCTGAATTTTTCCCCACACAATATCACCAACATGAATCTCACGTCCCTCCTCTAAGACACATCCATCAACATTCTGTGTCTGAATTTTCATCATTAATGGCTTAATGATGTCTTTGTCCTCATCCTCCATAGGTGGTGATTGAGGCCCAGGAAAAAAGTCATTTATACAATCTCCAGAATCATCACTGAAGTCACTGAAATGGGTTTCCTCTTCACTAGAACGAGAATGACTGTCCTCAGAAGTCTGCACTTTTCCAAAATCTGAAGGCTGCACAGATTCCGTGATGTGGCCAGAGGAATACACAGTGTCATTTAAACTTCGAAGTGGGTAGTCTTTAAGCATGAGCTTTGGTGAAGGTGAAAAGTGCCAACTTGGTGATGCACTTACTACTCGAGCTGGAGATGCATTTTTTCTTCTATGGGGAGAATTTCCTACAGGCATAATACCTGGTGAACTTTTAATTATGTACTTTGGAGAAACACTGGGAGCTGATTCTCTAGGTGAAGAAGAAACCCTTGACAGCCCTTGGTTCTGTCTCCAAGTGTACACGAGTCTCGGTCTCTGAATGTTTATACTATCCACAATAGGCAAAGCATTTTCATAGTTTTCTGCATCTCTACACTGAGGTACGCTGTTAATTTCCACAGCACTGTTTTGTTCTTCTCCATCACTAACAGGCAGAAGAAAATCTTTGCTGCCTTTACTTTTTTTCAGTTCTAAAGGCACCAGAACAGAATCCTCACAATACGCACTTGCAGATACAGAACTATCATGACGATGACGATGTTTCTTTTTATGCTTTTTCTGAGATTTGGTTGAAGACATTTCATTTTGTTGTAGATCTATGTAGCTTTCTCCTTTGCCGGCACTGGACTTAGATTTGTCGCGATCTTTTGATTTTTTAGCTGCTTTCTTGGCCTTTTTATGAGCATGATACTCTGCTGGCCCAGAATCCAAAATTTTTAGTTTTGGTATTGGAAGTTCTTCATCAATGTGTTCAGCTCCCCGGTCAGGCAGCCTGGGTGGTATTTTGATTATTGCACCATCTCCAATTGTGATTTTAATTGCTGGAGATGGTTTAGCATTACAAGTAGTGGAAATAATACATTTCTTTTTACCACTTTTACTTAATGAGTTACCTTTGCTGTTTTCTGAATCATCAATGATTTGTAAGAAGTCATTTCCTGTATTAATACTTCCAGAGCTTGATGAACGGTGACTTCTAGCTGTAGCATTTATTGGTTTTCTATTGTCAAAATCTGATAATTTGTTTCCACTACTGCTTCGTTTTACAGCCCTGCAAGGTCGCTGAAAAGTTAAGTTTACATTGCTGCTTTCTTTCGAACTTCTTTCATGAGAGATTTTACTTGTTTTGAGCTGTATGTCTTCTAGCAGCACCATGGGCGACTGTAAACATTTTTTTCTTTTTCGAGTTACAGGTGGTAGTGACGATGTGGACTGAGCTGCAGCACTGTCAGTATCTCTAGAAGTGGATGAGTCTAAAGGTTTTAGTTTTGACGTTGCAGTGCTGGCCGTACTGTTTGTGTTGCTTTGAGATGTATGCATTTTGTGGTTTTCATGAATGGCTGCTTTGCACTTGAAGCAAAGTGTCTGACGAGGCCGCAGTCTTATGTCTCTAATTGTCTTCCTGCGAACTGTGACAGGTTTCATTTCTATTGTTGGTGTATCAGGCACAGGTCTAGGATTTGTGAGGAATGGATTTGTATTGTAAGAAAATCTGCAGATTGATGCTGACAACTCAAACTTAACATCTTTAAAGCTGTTACTTATATCTGGAGGTTTGTTTTCCATTCCAGGCTTTGTATCCAATGCAGATCTTGGAGAGTTTTTTAAGCTGATCTTTTGTTCCATGACTGATTTACCAGAGAAAGGGATGCCATGAGGGAACAATCTGTAAGTACAATGTTTTATATCAGTGAAAACATGTCAACCAAAACCAAAAGTAATTTATTTACAACTGTTACCATTATTACTCAGTTAACCTGTCTGCCTGGACAAACAATCAACATCATGTGCCATACCAATAAGCATAGGTGGTAATGATACACCATTGTATACAATCAGTGTAATCAAAGATCAGATCAGTGCTCCTATCCCGCCCATGCATGAGGCCAAGCGATCAAGACATTTATCTCTTTCCTTCTCCCTCCTTTTTAGCATCTATTTTGCTGTTTGTCAAGAAATTCTTGTGTCGCTTTCTTTCCTTAAAATATACCTTCTGTATTTAAACAAACAGAAAGATGCAGTGACAAATAAACTTTTTCCCTCCTTGATGGCTCTTTTTTCTTCCTGCATATCGTAACAGAGCTATGCTTGTGGAGCAAGCAATGAAGTTCTCAGCTCAATCACAGGTATTTCATTCTAGGCCAATTTGGTCACACACAAATGGTTTAACTTATTAGGAAGTGCATTGTGAATGGCTAATCCATCCTTTATCTTGCGTCGAGTCAGGCAAGTGTTCAGATAATCTGACTAATAGAACGGCTCTGACACTGGTCAGGAGTGATTTCATCAATGCCCTGTGAGATGCGTATCGGGAAGGTCTCATAGATTTAAAACATCATTTAGTTCTCACAAATTCATTTTCGCTGCTTTAACCGAGGGGCTTGAGGCATATTCCATGAGCCTGACTGCTCCAGCGTAGATCCGTCTTAGTGTTATAATGGTGACTTACTGGGTTTAATATAATGTTAATAAGAAGGATTAACCTGACTGGTAACAACTGAGAATGTATTTTTTTTGGTTTTGAAAATTAAGTAACCACTCTGAATGTAATCTGTTACAACAGTGAAACATGTATGAACAGTTAATCACAATTTTCTTGTTCTCTCTTTTTCTTTTCCACTACACTGACTTATTTTTTTTTTATTCAATGCTAATAACTGCACCTGAATCTCATAAAACACCCACCCTCAAATTTGACCAAGGCAGCTATCACCCCTTGGAAAGCCCCAGGGGGTGGTAGCGTCCACTTCTGAAAATACTGAACTAAAGTAATATACTATTAGAAAATGTTCAATTTAAGAACAGAATTTATTTCAAGCAAGATAATCAAATACTAGTTGCAAAATATCAGAACAGACAGAATGACTTAAACAGAAATATAGGACTAATATAGAACAAAGAATCCATTTATACAATGATGACGATGCATAATGAAGTATGTAAGTTCAACGTTAACTCTGTTGCCCCAATAAGCCTCAAAACTGACATTTTAGATTCAGCCCAATTTCCTGTAAATGCCACTTTTCTGACTTGTCTAGAGAGACATGTTTATGAGACATATGTTAATGTTATTGATTGAGTCCATGCCACTGCAAGATTACTGGGCTCAGGAGGTAAATATAATAACTAAAAATCGCATTTAGGGAGGGTTTTCCTTCAAACCAAATTATTTTTAAAGCCAAGTCGATGTTGATTTTTCCCAAAAGCCTCAGTGACAGCGGTCATAGGGTCTTGGCATGAGTCATCAGATACATATATTTATTAGGCCCTGGTGAGTATATTCCATTTAATGCTTCACACTTTTCATATTTATTGATTGCCACTTTTATATATCATTATAATTTTTTGTTAACATATTTTTTTGGGTTAATTTACATAAATACATTGTTAAAAATGTGACCTAGGTAAAATTTTTATTTTTTAAGAATTTTTTCAAGACATTCCATGGAGCCATTTTTCATTATTTTAGCCTTCCCAGGGCAAAAGGATTAACAGAACCAGTTTTTAACATATGGTAGTGAAAACTATCTCAGAGGAAATGAGTTAAAGTCATAAGTTCTTGGCACTGACAGGGTTAATGAGCTTGATGTGAAAATTACAAGTTATATGCCACTAACTGAAATGATTATACAGTGGAACCTCGCTTAACGAGCGTAATTCGTTCCAGAATAATACTCGTCAAGCGAAACACTCATTATGCGAAACAATTTTTCTCATATAAATTAATGTAAATTGCAATAATGTGTTCCATGTCGAAAAAAATACTCACAAAATTATATGTATAACGTTTATCCAAAGAAAATTATATACATATTGTTAAGAAGAGTAAGTCACTTTCATCTTTTCTTCAAACGCAGAACAAACTCAGCTGGAACGCGAATTCGATCTGCTGAAAAAAAGTCGAAATAATTATGATACATAGCTAATTTTTTTTTTTCTCCCAGAAAGATGTCTAGAGACATTTGTTTTTGCCAACGCTTCAAAATTTGACAAAAATGCAGCACAGCATTTTCTTTTAAATAAATTTGCAACGCGCATAGCAACTTCTTTATTAGGGTGATGCTGCTCAATGTGAGATGCAACAGTTTGCCATGCTTTCAGCATTTCTCTTATTTTGCCAGGAGATTGTTGCTTTGCTGTTACCTCCTCCTCCTCTGACCAACTTTCCTCCAAAACTTCTAGCTGTGAAACAATGCAACTCGATAAGCTCTTGGGTGGTCAGCTCTTGGCTGTGCTCTTCCACAAGCTCTGCGATATTACTGTTATCCACCTACAATCCCATGATAGTGGCCAAAGACACAATCTCGTTGACTACAGGTTCCACAGGTACTGTCTCGAACCCCTCAAAGTCACAAATAGACAACGCTCTCCCGCCAAAGCTTCTTCCAAGCAGAAGTTAGTGTTCTCTTGGTAACCCCTTTCCCTGCTTTGTCGATCAACGATGTGGAAGTGATGTTTCCAAAACTCTTTGAGAGCGAGGTTGGTCCCTTCAGTCACCTAAAAACAATGCTCGAAGAGTGCTTTAGTGTAGAGCTTTTTAAAGTTAGGAATAACTTGCATGTCCATGGGCTGGAGTAACGGAATAGTGTTGGGAGGCAGAAACTGGATCTTAATGAACTTAAATTCGTCAGAGAGGTCATCTTGTAGGCCTGGAGGATTCATGTACATATATCACAATATAACACACGTTTGAGAAAGTGTGTGATCACAAGCGACACTACAATGCTACTGGAACGAGTGCTAAACACAGACTGATGTAACATGCACACAATTCGGGACTTCCTCTCACCTCACCACTCGTTATGTGAAACGTCGCTCGTTAAGCAAGTCATTTTTTTACAAGTTGTTTTGCTCGTTATGCAAATTACTCGTTGTGAGAGGTGCTCGTTAAGCGAGGTTCTACTGTACTTTCAAACTACTACCCAACTTTCATAATAGATAATTTGGGGGAATCTCTCTGGAAATCTATGGGCAAATGTAGACAAAGTGACTGACTGGTGTACTGAAATGTGTGCTGTCATCCACTCAGAAAAGGCGGCTGTTTTGTGGTGCTCGATGGAGAATAGAATTGTAAGAGCTAATGTTCCAAGCCTCACAATTAATAACTGTAACCTCAAAAAAGAAAGCAAACTGAGGTACCTGTATATCATTTTTGATAAAAGCCTGTCCTTTAGGGATTACATGGAGACAGTTGCTTTAAAATGCCAAAAAAGGAATCAATGCTCTCAAGATTATGGCAGTAATGGACATAGAACAAAGAATACTGTTCACAATGTTCCAGCATGTGATGTTGTCAATGATAGATTATAGTCTTTCGATGCTTACCATATCAAAGAGTCAGCTGATAAAAACTTGAATGCATGCAGAATGAAGCCATGCGGGTAATTCTGGGATGTATAAGAGATGTCCCGGGATAGTACTTGCGATGATGTGTTTCGTCCTTATAAGGACGAAATTTTTTGTTATTTGAAGCCCCACCCTGGCTTTTGCCAGGGGCCGCAATATAGGCAGGCCATAAATATGGCCAATTGTCTGAACGCGGTTTCTGGGACCTCTCCACGGCGATCCTCATCCACATGGTGGCACTTTGTGTCATCAGGTGTTTATCGCTTGTGTGATGTTCTAGTGGGGTAGAAAGTCAGTCAGTCAGTCAGTCAGTACTTGTGATGCCAACCATTGCAGATAGACTCCAAATTCTGCAAGAAAAGCCATATCTCAGAGTAGCTGAAGACAAGAAAGACCTCCTGCATGAAGCTCTGGGTAGGGCTAAGGGTCAAAGACAGAAAAGAAGAAGGTCTTGGATTGCGCAAGCTGAAGACACAATTAGACATGTGTGCAGGATTGATAAATTTCAGCTAGGAGAGGAGTGGGTCAAAGTGTCCGAGGAAGTTTTAGACTTATGTAGGGTTCTTATCATTTAGGTCATGAGTGCAGCGACTGGCCAACTGGTGCCACGGAAAAATAGGTTCAACAAATGATTCATTAAAATTCGAAGCCAGGTGATCTGATTATCTATACAGATAGTTTTGTTTTGAGGGGCTGATGAAGTGCATGGTGTTCATAGCAAAGGCAAATGGACATCGCTGTAGTGCAATAGTCAGCCACATGATATCACAACTTCCAGTTTGAGAATAGAGGTGGGGGCAGTCACTGCTGCCTTCCGCTGGCTTGAAAATCAGCTGTACACACATGCCACAACTGTAACTGACTCACAGAAGCATGTTGAGAAAGGTGGAGACAGGCATGCTCCGTGCAGAGTGGCAAGCATCACTTTAGTGGTCATGGGTAATTAGGATATTTTCTCCAGGTCATGCCAGTGTGTTTGGAAATGAGCAGACGGACAGACTGGTCGATTCTGCACCACCTGTGGTAAATTGATTTATGACAAGCTAGATGTTGTGAGGGCCCTTTGACAGTGAGTGAACAGTGCAGTGAACTGGAACTCTTCATTTGCTACTGAAGATGGGGACGGAACACTTATGGGGGTGTCCCGAGTGCTGTGATGTTGATTCTTAATTTAACATTCAACAACATTTAGGTATCTTCTTTTTACTGCCTATGCCCTATTCATTGGTAGTCATGTCCATCCATAAATTTATGTCCTACAGGCATCAATTTTCTGACACAGATAACTTTTCATGCTATGATGCTAAACTGTTCAGCACC